CCTGGCCTGTCTTCATCTCTCTGCTCTGCTTGGCTTTACAGTGACTTCATTCTCAAGCTCCCCACAGGGTAGCAAGCTAGATGTCAGTAGTACTAAGTTCACTCCCACCAGGGTTCCAGACAATGGAAAAAGCACTGCTTCAGCGGGGCATGTTGGCACATGCCTGTAATTCCAGCACTTGGGAGGTGGACAGGAGGATCATTCAGGAGTTTGAAGCCAGCCTGGGCTACGTAGTAAGTTCTGGTCAGACTGGATTTAAAGTCACTCAAACATTCAAATTGAAATATACTTGGTCCCAGGGCTGGAGAGATGGCTCAGCGGTTAAGAGCACTGACTGCTCTTGCAGAGGACCCAGCTTCGATTCCCAGCACCAACATGGTGGCTAGGAACCGTCCTTAACTCCAGTTTCAGGGGAATCTGAATCTGACCTCCGTGGTATTGCAGAGGATATGACACGGGTGCACTCACATACATGTAGGCGTCCTTAACTCCAGTTTCAGGGGAATCTGAAGCCCTCTTCTGACCTCCGTGGTATTGCGGAGGATATGACACGGGTGCACTCACATACATGTAGGTAATACTAAATAAAATATTTTCTTTTTAAAAAAGAAATATACTTGGTCCCCTGAGAAAAAGGTAAACTAATGTTGACTGTTTGAAAAAATAACCTGGGTTACAGCTATTACATCAGCCAGCCATGTATGTGTTTATGATGGGAGTGTATAGTAAAGCTGCAAGTGGACATATCTGCCTACCGAAGGGGAACTTTGACCCCACATAGGACAGACAAAGAAGGGTTACTCTCCCTGCGCCCCCTGCTCCTGCCTTCTCTTTTCCTTGTAGCCAGCTTCGTTCTACTGCAGAGTAGAGATAGTCTTTGAAGTAAGCCTTGCTTCTAAGGGGCTTCTGGAGTGGCAGTGGTCTGCATCCATTGACAATTCCTGTTTCCGGCCATTACAGTAACACAGTTTTACTTAAGGCTTACTCAGTGAATTCTTTCTCAGTGCTTGGAGTGTCTCTTTGGTATACTTCTTTGAATAATGAAATCATAATCCACACTATTTATAAAAACTTTTCTAGAAGTCTGAAACTCAAATTTAAGTCCTGTGCCTAATTAAAAGTGGTTTTCCTTGAGATTAGTTTGTCTTTTTTTTTTCCTTCTAGTTCTCCCTTCTGACTCCCTTACCCTGGGTAGAGGTCAAAGACAGGGCCTTGCACATGCTGGTCAAGGTGTACCCTCTGACTTCTTCTTGGGTGATTTTGCAGTTTTTCTATACCTCGAACTTTTCTAGCAAGGTGCCTGAGAATATGGAGCTGTATAACAGAGAGAAACAAGCAAAATACCTTTGGTTTTCACCTTCCCAGTCTCCACTTCTCATTTATGGTGGGTCGTTCAGCATCTCCCATCAATACCCAGTCATTTTCATAATCTCAGTGTATACAGCACTTGTGTAGAGAGTATCAGTCAGGGGTTGAAGTGAACACTGGATATATACATTTTTAAGTAGCATAATAATTTTTTATATTTTTCAAGTTCCAGGAAGCTGTAATTTTTATTTTGTTCTATACTGTTGAAAAGAAGATTAAGAAAAGCAAAACAAATAATCCAAAGATTAGAACATATTTTAATACAGTGCTTGTCACCTGGAAATATTTGTCTGTGCTTGGTCCTTCTTGGCTATCTTGACTAGTGGAGTTTTAGGGACAAAAGCCAAGGATACTGCTAAACATCCTGTGTCACTCGTGGCAGGCATCCATACCTGGAAGGGGGGAAAAAAAAGCACTGTAAAGCCAGGAGAGGATTCAGAGCAAGTTTGTAAGCATAGGTCAACACTGGAGGCAAACTGGAGTCATGCAATCCTGGAGCTGACAGGGAATGCCATTTAGACCAGTTTCCCCATTTTTTAAGGTAGGTTAACTGAGTCACAGAAGAAAAACGTGGCCTGAAGCAATATAACTCCTTTACCTCCTAAACCTATGATCAAGCAAAGGGCTTAATATCTCTCTCTCTCTCAGTTTCCTGTTTTGCAAAAAATCAAGCAAGAGAAACAATAAGACTTCTCTCAAATAATTAAGCATTAATTAAACAATATGTGTAAAATGCTCAGTATAGTGCCTGGCCATAGTGAGTTGTTAATAAATAGTGGTGATGAGAGCTGAGGTAGTGGTAATCATTACTACTGCTATGCAGTCTCGGAGCTGGTCTGCTGCCTGTGGAACTCTTCTGCCCCTCCCCAGGCACATCTTATTTGTACTATACTGCTTTGAAGGTGTGTTAATTTAATGGAGATTAAAGACCAAACTGGACATCAGCCTAGTGACTGGTAATCCAAAGTGAAATTCTGAATGAGAAGTTCTCCATGAAAGACTGAAATTGTTTTAAGTTGTAAGAAGAGCACTTCAGAAAAACATTAAAAAATTGATCCTACCTGAAACAGGCAGCACTCTGTCTCCTCCCAAATCTCTGAGCCATTGTCTCGGAGGTCATACCCCCAGGAAGGACAGAGTCTGGACAAAATGACCCTTATCAAACGCTTACAACCCTAACTGTGTTCACACAGAGGCAGCATTTTCTGTCTGTCTGTCCTGAATGGCTGTAACAGTTTATTAGTGTATCTGGAGACCCTTCCCACTGTAAGATTCTCTGGCATCAGTAAGTTTTGTGGACTTGGTGTTGGAGGGATCACGTGACATTATAGATGATGCCTTATAGGCATGTGTTACTGTGTAGACAGCCATAGACCTGCTGTTTCATAGTTGTGGAGTAAAATGATTTATTAGTTTTGCTAATTCAGTCAATATGAGCATATGAGTAAGACATTGTATAAAATGTTTTCTTCTCAAATACTAATAAATTATCTTACTAATAATCTCATGAAATAAGATTCCTCTCATTTTTCAGTCCTATAAAAGGGGCTGGAGAGATGGCTCAGTTGTTAAGAACACTGTTCTTGCAGAAGACCAGGGTTTGAATTCCAGCACCCACATGGCAGCTAACAACTGTCTGTAACTCCAGCCCCAGGGGATCTGACAGCCTCTTCTGACCTCCACGGGCATTGCACAACACAGGTGCACGTACCTACATGCAGGCAATACACACATACACATAAAATAAAAATAATAAATAAATTTTTTAAATTAAAAAAACCTATAAAAATTGTTTGCAGTTGTTCTGTGATTGGACTTGTTACTTCTCATTAGGTTAGTCAACCAAATTATTTAAAATCAGTGGCTTTCTGTAAAAAATTAGCAGAATTCCAAGAGCACTAACTTCTGCATTATAAATACAAGTTAATCTCTCTTGAGGGAAAAATGTCCTTTGTGTAGTAGCCTTCTTTTCAATGTTCTGTTTATTGGATTGGAGCCCCCAAAATAATTTCATATTACACAAAAATATACTATGAGGGGCTGGAGAGATGGCCCAGAAGTTAAGAGCACTGGCTGCTCTTGCAGAAGATCCAGGTTCAGTTCCCAGCGCCCACATGGCTCTAACAAGCATCTTTAACTCCAGTTCCAGGATATTTGATGCCCTCTTCTGGTCTCCATGGGCACTGCACAACATGTTCACTTACATACATGCAGGCAAAACACTCATACACATAAAAACAAGTACAGTAAAAAAATAATATATATGTATATATATACATATATATTATGAGTCATTGAAAGCATTATTTCTACATTAAAAACATGTCCAGGGCCTAGAGAGATGGCTTAGTGGATAAGAGCACTGATTGCTATTGCAGAGGACCTGGATTCGATTCCCAGCACCCACATGGTGGCTAACAGCCATCTGTAACACCAGTTCCAGGGGAATCCAATGCCCTCTTCTGACCTCTGCGGGCACTGCACAACACAGGTGCACTTACACACATGCACTCATACACATAAAATAAAAATAATAAATATTTTTTAAAAATGTGCATAGAAGAAAGAAAACTGAATAGATCTTAGTTAATTTTATCTGTTTTCTCTATATCTGGGACGTTGAAGATTTCACAAGTAGTTGGAAAAGAATAACAACATAGTCTACCCACTGAGTACTGAATAATCACCAGGCACTGTGCTAAAAGTTAGAAGTTAAGTGATTTGTGGGGCTGGGGAGATGGTACAGTAGGTAAAGTACCTGCTACACAGCATGAGGACCCAAGTTTACATCCCTAGCACCTACATAAAATTCATGAGTGTCTGTAGCTCGAGAACTGGTGGATGGAGAAAGACAGATCCTGGGGCTCAAATAACAGTCAGCTACCTAGCCAAAATGGCGAGCTCTATGTTCAGTCAGAAAATTAAGTGTAAAGCAATTTTAAAAAAAAAGAGAGAGAGCCAGGCGTGGTGGTGCACACCTTTAATCCCAGCACTTGGGAGGCAGAGGCAGGCGGATCTCTGTGAGTTCAAGGCCAGCCTGGTCTACGTAGTGAGTTCCAGGACAGCTGGGGCTACAGGGAGACCCTGTCTCAAAAATACAAAAAAAAAAAAAAATACCCAGTGTCCGCCTCTGGCCTCTACTTGCAACATACGGGTGAACACACATGTATGTGCGCATACAAGTATATACACACCTATACCACACACACACACACACACACACACACACACACACACACGCACACAGACAAGAAAGTGATTTGCCCCAGTTCATAGCTGGTAAGCAGGAGAGCCAAGATATCACAGCCCTACATGCCTCCTGAGTGCATCATCTTAAGTACACTCTGTTTGCTACATCTGGTTCTTGACAAGGAAAGACTTAACTGAGTTAATAAATCTCCCTCTGGAGATACTATGATTAGTGGTTTTCCTAGGGTAGAGGTTACAGTTACACTCCGGAAGTGTCGACTCCTGCAGTTTGTGGTAGTGGGAGACCATGTTTGTTCTCTCCCCTTCAGAAAAATAAAACAAAAATAAATAAATTCCCTTCTAAGATCAAGACGATCTTAATGCAAAACGTCCAAATTAGGACAGTATTCTGTATTTTAATTTGACCTTCTGTGTTTTTTAAGGTGCTGTGTAATGGACCAGGAACATGTATTCCTATCTGTGTATCTGCCCTTCTCCTTGGGATACTCGGAATAAAGAAAGTGATCATTGTCTACGTTGAAAGCATCTGCCGAGTAGAAACTTTATCCTTGTCTGGGAAGATTCTGCTCCATCTGTCTGACTACTTCATTGTTCAGTGGCCTGCTCTTAAGGAGAAGTACCCCAAGTCTGTGTACCTTGGGCGAATTGTGTGACAGATGGTAACTGCTTTAGAATTTTGCACCTAACAATAATGTTTGCTGAAGCATCTTTATTAAAAAGTCTTTTGAAAGCCCAAAGAATTATTAATGATGGCGAATAAAGTATGTGCAGACCACTCCATGAAGAAACCGAGGCTTCTCTTAAAGACAAACATCAGCACAGTACCCATCACATGTTTATGTCTGTATATATCTTTTTCTAAGTGAAAGTATGTGTCCCGACTTGCACGTTTTCTTTCTGACTGTTGGAGTAGTAGTTTTTGTTTCTGTTTTTGTTTCTCCTCAACCTAAATATAGAGTTTGTATGTTTAGTAACAGTTCCTGTTTTACAACTTTAAATAAAACAACAACAGCACAACAGCATTCTACACTATGAAAAGAAAAGAGCAAGGGAAGCTGGGTGTGGTGCGGCTTGCATGAAATCTGATATTCAGGAGGTGGAGGGGGAGGACCTGGAGTTCAAGGCTATCCTTGGCTACATAGCAAATTTGGGACCTGGAGAGGCAGGCTAAACAAGGTATTTCTTTGGTTTTGTTCCAATACCTCAGGCTTTAATCCCCTGTGGAAGCAGTGATGTCCTGAGTCAGTCAGTTCAGCATAAAGGTATCATATTTTAAACTGGTTTCCTGAGAGTTTTCACTCTACAGGCTTTCAGATCCTTGACCATAACCAAGTATCTTTTTAAAAAAAAAATTAGTATTTTTATTTTGTGTATGTGTGTATTGCCTGCATGTGTATAATTATACCTGTGTCAAGAAATCCCCACAGAGGACAGAAGAAGGCATCAGATCCCTTGGAACTAGAGATGCGGACAGCTGTTAGCTGCCATGCTGGGATTTGAACCCAGATCTTCTGCAAGAACAGCCAGCACTCTTAACCACTGAGCCATCTCTCCAGCCCCCACAAGTACCTTTTTTCATTCTTCAATCTTGTTTTATATGTTTTTGACCTCTATCCAGAATATCTTTTAAAATCTGTTTAATTGTTAAATTAAGTGGTGACCAGTGTCAGTAATAAAAACATCATTCTCTCAGGAATCTAAACTCTCAAAACATTAAAGAAATGTTTCAGTAAATTCCCAGTGTCATGGCTATGGTTATCTCTAGCCTTTTGAAATGCTTAGGCCCAGTAGAGGGTATATTTACTAGTGCTTGCTGTATGCCATGTATTCCTCTAAGAACTTTTCAGATACTGTCAAATTGAAACCTGGAAGAACTCATTGAGGTAGAGACGCTTCCTATAGATGACTTGCCCAACATCACATGATCAGTAAATGACAAAGCCAGGTTCAAGCCTAGTAGCCTGACCTAAGAGTGGGACCAGCTTCATGGGTCTGTGGCCTGTGCAGTCACACAGTACCATATTCAGGAGGACCCTGCACTGCTCTGCTTTCAATCTTTTATATTTGTTTTGGGTTATGGGGTTTTCGGGGGGGTTGGGGGGTCTTTTTGAGACAGGATCTCCCTGTAGCCCCAGCTGGCTTGGAGGTCACTATGTAGACCAGGCTGGCCTTGAACTCACAGAGATCCACCTGCCTCTGCCTCCTGAGTGCTGGGATTAAAAGTGTGTGCCACCACGACTGGCTAATTTTTAATATTTTTATTATCAATTTATTTTTGGATTTTTGTTGTTACTGTTTTGTGGTACTAGAGATTGAACCCTGGGTCTCCCACATGCTAGACAAGTTCTTGGCCTCTGAGCTGTACCCCTAACCCTCTTAGTAAATTTTAAATAGGGATGCACACTTTGGACCCTGTAAGTTATATAGCTAGTGCTGCATGAGACTGTGTTCCTAAGAGAACCAGGACTGTGACAACAGAATATCCCCATGACCAGGAAGATTCATCTCCTCCATGTAAGCTCTGCTCACTTAGCAAAGCAGCAAAAAGACAAGACATCCACATACAGTATTTGAATTTATGGGTTTTAATCTGAAATATTTTTGTTATAGCAATATAATAGAAATCTAATAAAGAAACTAGAAATGGGCTAAGATGACTGAGTGGGTAAAGGTGCTTGCCACCAAGCCTAAGGACCTGAGTTTGATCCTCATGAGCCACATGGTAAAGGGAGAGAATTGATTCCTGCCAGTTGTCCTCTGACCTCCACACGTGCACGATGGCATATGCACACACACATGCAAGTAGATAAATGCAAAAATGTTTTTTAGAAGGCAATAAGTAAATAAAATATTTTTTAAAAGAAAAAAGGGGGCCTGGAGAGAAGACTCAGTGGTTAAGAGCACTGGCTGCTCTTGCAGAGAACCTGGGTTCTGGTCCCATCACCCATATGGCAGCCTAACAACCATCCATAACTACAGTTCCAGGGGATCCGATGCCCTCTTCTGACCTCCGTGGGCATTGTACAACATGAGTGCAGTTACATGCATGCAAGCAATACACTCATACACATAAAATAAAAATAACACATTTTTTAAAAGCAATAGGAAATGATTTTTAAAGACAGGATTGTATTTAAAAGAAGTTGAAATGCTAAAACTGAGCCAGGCCTGGTTGGTTCAATACTATGATCCAAACTACACAGTAGGTTCTTAAGGCAGGAGGAGGATAAGTTCTGAGTCTGCCTGGGCTACAGAGTGAGTTCAAGACCAGCCTTGGTAACTTAGCAAGTTCCATTGTTAAAATTTAAAAAAAGGATAGGATCTTCATGTGTATCTTAGTGATAGAATGTTTGCCTAGCATGTGTGAGTCCTTAAATTTAATCCCCAGTACTGAAAAAATAAAATAAAATGCTAAGGCCAATCTGGGCTTTTTTTTCCTCTTAGAAAACCCCTTCCCTAAGGTACATCTGTCACTGGTATGTTTTCTGGGGTTTGGGACTGGAGAAGCCCTTGGCCAAAGATATCTCAATTGGTGAGATAGCTTGCTGTCTAGACTCAGTGGCCTCAGGGCAGCCAAGTGATGGCTCTCTGTGCTCTGATTTTAGTCCTTGAATCTCAGGCACTGGCTGTTTTCACTGACCTCTGAACCTAGGATATGAGACAGTAGATTACTGTAAATTAACTAGGGTTGGAGAGAAAATATGCTTCTAATTTTCTAGAGAGAAAATTATTTTTTCTAACGGTATATACATTTGATTCATATTTGAATCTTTTTCTGCTCTATATTTTGTTCCTAGGTAACCTAGGTAAGGTGGCTATATTGAGTTGAGTTAATGCCTGTCCAAGAGGAGGTCAACAAAAGGTGGCATATTTTTTTTCCCAGAAACGTGTGCCCCAAATGTTTGCAGAGTCTACTTAGTTACTAGCCTGTAATGTCAGAGAAAGAATCTGCATGTAGTGTTTCACTACAAGTTGAGAAACATTTCCCTAGGGTCAGGCTGCTGTGTGCACATATTCAGAGCCAGGATGAGGTAGTGTTACGGTGTCTTCCTGCCCCATTCCAGCATATTTGGTAAACAAGTGCATGTTGTGCTGTGTTATGACTGGAGGTCACACTGGCAGAGGGGGCTGCTTTGAGGTTATAGGAAAGCACTTGGTTTCCTTGCTGTCCCTTTTTATACCATTGGGAAAGAATGTTCTAGTTTCAACTTGAAGACCAGTAGTTAACCTGTCCTTTTTCTTCCTCCTGAAACAGGACAGAATGTGCCTTTATAAGACACAATTTATGCAAAACAAACTGAATCAGCCTTCAAATGAGAGGCAGGGAAACCACACATCCTGCCCATACCTACTTCCCTGGGAGATTTTTATCTACAGTTCAGCTATCCTGAAAGATTTCAGCTGGCTACCAGGTCAGAAGGTTTGTTTCAAAGAGGATGCCCAAAAGCCATGGCAGGAAGTGTCAGCCTGGGATGAAGTGTTGTGAAACCACGTCAACCAGAGGAATAGTGTACGATTTTTAGATTGAATGGCAAGAGGTCCTGGCTAGAAAGGAGATACCGCAAGCTTCCATTTATAAAAAAAAAAAAAGAAAGAAAGAAACTTAAAGCACATTGTTTATTTTTACCTTCAAAAGTGACACCGTGAGTTGAAGTTGGGACCTGTTCCCTTACTGTAGTTTCTTTGACTGAATTGGTGCTTTATTTTTTTTTTTTTCCAAAAAGCCCTATCTGCTAAAAGGAGTTCGATTTGGGCGGGGCGGTGAGGGCATGTTGTTTTCATGTGTATGAGTGCAAGCGCACCACATATACAGTCCACAGAGGCAGGCGTCAGACTCCCTGTCGTTAACCACCGTGTGGTGCTGGAATTGAACCCTGGTCATCTACAAGAGCAACCAGTGCTCTTAACTGCTGAGCCATCTCTCCAGCCCTTTCACCTTAGTTTTTGAGACAAGACCTCTCCCTGGACCTGAAGCTCTCCACTTCAGCTAGGCTGGCTGGCCAGTGATGCCCTGGTATCTGCCTGTCTCTACTCCTTAGCACTGGGATCACAGGCACACACTGCCATGCCGGGCTGTGTGTAATGGGGATCTGAATTCAGGTCCACATGTTTGCACAGCAGACCCTTTACCCACTGAACCTTCTCAGCCCCCACTAAGAGCAGTTGGATGGCATTACAGCATTAAGCACCTTTTTTCACTGATGTTAAAGAATATGTCAATATTTACCATATGGAAGGATAAGCAGATGTCCAAATCTTGTCTGCCCTGACCTTTCTTCTGTTACGGAAATCACTCTAGCACTTTAAAAATAAATGGGCTACCATCGTGTTCTTGTTGACAATTCATTTTAAACTCGGAGTTCACATTTCTCCTTTTCCCTTCGGGGTAACCAGGTAACCGCTAACCTCTATCACATCCCTCAAATACCAAACCTTGGGTTCATTTTGTTTTTCCACTCTTCCCTTAGCTACGTGTAATCACTTCTTTTTAATAGCAGCAAAGGACCATGAATGTGGCTTAGTGGTGCAACACTTCCCAGTTCAACCACAGCACCACAAAATAAAAAGAAAGAAATTAGCATCACCAAAACCTTCCCTTAGCTTTTCTTTCTCTCTGTCTTTGGAATTTACTGTTCCTTTCCCTTGTCTGAATTCATCTGTAGATTCTGCCATTGACCATTGACGTAGTACCTAGTTTATGTTTACTCTTACCTTTTCAGTGTCATGGTCACA